ATGGGTTGATATTGTTAGGTGTACTTTTAAAATCAAGGTAACTGTGCCACAACATTTGGGCCAATCGCATTGTAGGCATATCCAGTTCCACCAATCAAATTTAGACGGGATAACTTTGACCAATCAAAGTGTGAACAACGGTCAAAACAAGAGTTATTAATTCCTTTAGATTAACACTTAAAAATCACACTGGCACAATGAAGCCAACTTCGAAGAAACTTTTTGGTCACTTCATCCCAGAATTGCTTCTAAAATGTTCATGTGATTGATGGCTTGGGTTCAGGATCACAGTATCATTCGGCTCCGTATAGTTTTAATTTTCAGCATCTAAGATGAGTCCACATCACGATGACATTGACGGATGAGATGCAAGCAATTACAATTCAGTCCGGAATCTTTGGTTTCACGGGGTCGGGGCTTGCTTCGCCAGGCTGACGCCGGGAGGATACCGAGCAGAGGAGACAGAACACCGGCAAGACGACCCGGGACAACCGCTACATCCGTCTCCGTCCTTCGGTCATCTTGTGAAGTTCAGGAGACTCTACGACATCTCGAGAATGACAAGACTGTACTCGATACAGAAACAGACATATCCTACGCAGACACTCGAAACGGGGGGTTGAGCTGTAACTTGTTGATCTTGGGGTTTTGCCTTTCGCGAAAACACGTACGGCTACTCTGAATCACCATTAGTGAGCCTCAACTTCATACAGAAACAGACATCCCTGGGGGACACTTGAAACGGGGTTTACGTTGTAACCTCTGTTGATCCTGGGGTTTTGCCTTTCGCGAAAACACGTTTAGCCCTCCGGCTATTTATATGGATCACTATTAGCGCGGTGAGTGAGTATCGATTATTTGTCATCATGTGTACCTATCTCGACGATCCGAGGTATCGGTCGAGTACAACCCATCGGTACGGTAGTTGACTGACCTTCGATTTGCAATCGTCAAAATGTCGAATTTTACTGTGAGTGGAGGAAGAAAGCGAATACGACAACCGTTTCGTATTACTTAAAACAGGCTAATACTACTTGTCAAATGGAAATCTATTCAACTATTTTTTCCCCAAATTCACATTCAGGAATTCAATATTTAGAAATGCAATAGTAATGACTCTAGGAGCGCTAAACAGCCATACTAGATTACATCGAGATATACAAATGAGGACTTGAATCGCATGTACGCTGGGTAAATGTCTTTGGGATAAATTTAGATATATGTCGATATAAACATAAAGGCCTTCAAAGGGAAACTTTTGTGTTATAATTTGAAAAAAAAAATATGTTCGTTTCCTGCCAGCTTCGTGGAAATATATGAACATCTGTTTAGTAATTTCAAAACCAAAAAAACTTGAGTATGATTCTGCCGGACGTAATACAGGGGAAGATAGCCCGGGGAGTCTTAAAATGCATTGACGATTTCAACTATTTTGTTCTGTTAAGTTGAAGGTAATATTGCTATAAAAAAAGGTCCTCTAAATTCCGCTGTTATTTGCCTGTATTCTAAGAGGGACATAACAAAACAATCTGACTCTCATTTCGATAATTAAGGCTTGAGCCTGTTTAATGCATTGACGCCTTATAAATCAACCACGGCAATTATCTGATAATTAAGACAACCTCTTGTTTCAATACAAACAATTCTGAACTTCGCTTGCTACACCGACCTCACCAATCAAAAAATGACCTGATGCAAATATTTTGCCTCGACAACACGAGGTCAGGTCAGCTTTCGTGTGAAATTGGTTCCGCCTCATTGGAAGGTGACGCTATAGGATGTGGACTTGTTGACATTTGGAATGCACCTGCGAGCAGGATCACCTTCAAATGACAAGAGCCTCGATTGGTTAAGTCGTTTTTAATCCTTCCACTGATTGGCCATTGTGGTAGCTAGTCCCTTGTTAGGTTGTTGCTGATTGGTCATAGAAATCGTTGAGTGGTATTTACGTAAGGTTTGACGCAATATAATTTGACCTTGTAGCCGACAAACCCTGTGCAAGGCGTTCTCTGATTGGCTAAAATTGTGACCCCCTCCAAGTTTTTACCACTTCTTTGAAAACAACAGAACAAACAAATCTGGCAATAATCAGTATTAATCTGATTGAAATCGCCACGCAGAAAGTAATTGACGAAAAAAATCCGTTCAGATTATTATGTCCGGTAGTTGCACGAGGCACGTGCATCGTATCAAAGTAAACTGCGCATAGGATTGTGAGGCGTTCGCTTCAAGTATGCTTTCTGCTTGGAGAAAATAATGGTCTTATTCATGGAGCAGTTTCTCAATCAACGTCCCCTTGGTCGACCTATTTTCACCCAAGGTTTTAATCAGAGTAACAGTGCCGCATGCGAGGCACACAAAATTAAATTCCGGTCACATTTTACGCGAGTGGGATCAAGACATCGCGCGTTAAATGCGAACTGAACCCTGGATATTGGTAAAACATGACCCGAATAAAAGGGCTCACAGGCCTAGGTCCGTCACTTATCACACAACAACAACAAAAAAAGGCAAAGTCACAGAGGAGGATTTTACGCAATATCTTCGTCACATATTTTTGGTTAGATAATTACTTGTTTCCATTTGTTTTTGATTATGTCTTGTATTTGTTAATGGCTCCCATTCGGTTCCTTTTATTGGTTTTATCTTTATTGTATAAGTTTGTTTTGTTTTCTGGTCCTATTTATTTAATCACTTTGAGTTTTTGTTTTATGTGTTCCCTTTTAATTGCACATTGTAATTTCATGTAGTTTTGGGTCGAATAATTGATAGTAATTAGAAGAAAAACAATGTACTGTGCAATCTGTAGTGTCAAACCAATACGGTGTGATATTCGTAATTGACCACTCGGAAGTATATCTCCTTAGAAAGGATGTCCGTGATAATAATTGCTCCCTGGTAGAACCACTTGTGTTTATGGTACATTGCTAGTGAATTGACCGCCCATTAAGATCTGTATGAGGGATGACACGTAAGACTAAATTTAGGCCTGGCGATTGCTTATACATCAAGAACAGATACACGAAACTATAGTGTAGGCGGTCTAGTCGAAATGAGTCGAGAAAAGGCTTGAAGACTTCGTTTCCCCTTGCCTCGCTTTTGCCTCCAAACAATCTCATCTACAATAAGAGTTTCTGACAGCTTGCCTTTTTCATAAGAATCATGAACGAGGGATCGAAAAGGTATAGCCTAACAAGGACCGTTATAACTGCAATTCTGCGGGCAATTGCTATTCCGATACCGTGCGCGAGGCAGGTGTGCCTGGGGGACTTCTTCCCGTCATACCCCTGGCGATGATCTAGGATTTTAATCACCCAATCAACCATCAAGGTCGCCGGAGAGACGTCTTCATCAATCCTGTCGCGACTCATTATGGCTGGTCTCGGCAATTATTATAGACCTGACTATAGATGGGGAGTATTGTGGATAAGGGTTAGACTCGATACAAGCCTAAAGTGTCAAATCTGAGGCTGTGGGCTCTTTACACGTTTGGGTTGAAGGTGCACTGGCAGCGTTAGCAATATAAATCGTTATATAAATGGCAATACAAATGGTAAATAGTAATATATCTTACTCACGAGGAAGCAATTTTTGATCGTGTTCCCTGAATCTATTTTATAAATTGTAAACTGTTGAGTGGGATGGTGCCAGACTATTTTACCATCGGAGTGCGTGCCAAGCCTCACTTTTCGTTTTAATGTGGCTCAAAATATTAGGGTATGTTTAATCACAAATTTTAAATTATGAGAGCAGACTGGTATTAATGAACTTTTATTTCATTGCTTTCATTTCTACCCGCAAGTTCCAAAAATGAAGACTTTACCTCGCTTCAATTTAATATGGCCGACACGTGAATAAACTCTATGATACTAGTTACGACGCCAGACAGATATTTTCTTTGCTCTTAAAGCCTGGCTTCTGTTCCAACAGGGTAATGTCATGCCCAACAGCAAGTTGTCATAACCACACAACTTTTTTTTCACTTTTTCAAATGGATATATCGCGTTTTTGGAAATAAATTCTTGTAAATATATTCAGGACAACCCTCGCTCCAGTCCCGCAGAAAGTGTATCTGCCCGTAACTAGACCACACTTTGTATTAAACGAATCGAGTAACTGTGACAAGAAACCGCCCGCGGGATATTTTCGCGCGGTTCACACGCGCACGCGGCTATTACACGCGAGCCGTTTTCGCTCCACGCGCGAGATATTATGGTAACTTTAGCAGGGTAACCTGATCATAACTGTAGCGAGGGACATGCCCCGTGGGGTGTTGTCGCACGACCATGTCAAGTATATACTGACACACTGAATATTGGCGCGACATCAGCCACCGTGTGGCCTCAAGTCGTCACACCGGTTCTTTCCTTTCCTTGTCCCGGCCCAGAAATCTGCTCCAGCCCCCCTGGCCCTTTTCACACTGAGCCGCGGCGAAGCAATAACCATCTGGGCATGAAAGTGTCAGGCGCGAGAAATGTAAACCGCTGTAGTCGGTCTGATGTGAAAATCGAAGTAATGGAAGGGACACAGCTAGCAATGTTTGCACTGTCTTCTAACGTTGCTACAGGTGTGCACATTATAATCATGCTTATTAAGTTCTGCTCGCAAGAAACGGGCAAAGCGAGCACTTTCTACATTTCATCCATCGATTTAAGATCAAGTGTGTCGAAATAAAATACATCAGCTGTTTTACTATATTATCTAAAGAAGACCAACCAATTCTTCTGTGGATTTATCAACTTTAAACTAATCAAATTATTATATAGAGTACAGTATTCCTCCATGATAATATAGAGACCAAGAGAATTGTTCAACTTCGACAGAACGTGATGACTGTCAAAAAACTGAGAGCCGAGTAATTCAATCATAGAAAAAGGAACATCAGATTCTATCCACGATCTCAAAGTAAAATTTGGATAAGCTACCATTAAAGGAGTTTCGGACCCTTAGCAGCCCCGTTTTTGCATCCTGTAATCACAAAAAAAAAATGAGGTACTTACCATGATCTCTTGAGATGTACTGCTGGAAGAGACTATCGCAGGCGTCCTCCCCACGAACCATCTTGGCAGCCGTCCTCAAGCCTAATCTCTCAACATCTGGAGGAGAAGTCCAGTATTCCAATGGCTATCTGCGTGAACAACAAAGTACAAACCAGAGAGATACTCAGAACGGGTTACTTTTGCCTGAGTAACTTGAACTCCGCTCCAGCGAGCGGCGTTAACAAGTCCTGATGCCGTTAGATACACGTGGCGCTGTGTAAGCACTGCCCCGCATCAGTGACCGAATCAGCGAATCTACGGGGCCAGATAGCTATCACAGGCCTATTAAAGGCACCGGATGGCTGCAGACGATCTCTACAATAATGAGCGTTGCGCTGAGGATTATGGGATGTATCATCTCCGAAACTGCGCGCGCGCCTCGGCAAATAGTTGGCGGGGCCGATCCATCCATCACGAGCGGTCGCACGAGGCGCGCACGGATGCCAGCACTCCAACCTCGTGTCTGTTACAGATCGCCTTCCCGTGTTTCTATTCCGCTCGGGATGAGAGGGTGTGATGTGGAGAACATTGATGGGGGAGATTGCCAGGTTTCACAAGCGGTCACTTGAAGCTGTTTCCCCGAGGGGGCTGACGGGGCGATTATCTAACGGGTTGTCGAGCAAGCAAGTACTCCAGGAGCTGGACGGGCCGGTAAACGGTCGCTCTGCTGGAGTGACAACCGGTACAAAAAGGTCACCGGGGTGGTAAAGCACTTTTAGCGTTCTTGGACTGTGACATCGGTGAAATCGAACCCCACTTAGATATTGTCGACTTGACATGGGTCCCTACAAACTGAATTAAAAACTTTACAAGTGTGTTCTTTTATTCTTCCAAAAACTTCTAAATTACACGTGCGGTTTCAAAAAAAAACCGTGAGCAGCCCAAATGTTCCTTAATAGTTAATTCACGAAATTATTTTAACGCTTGCTTCTAAATGTATCGATTTCCAATAACAAAACACCACAATAACATCAATAAGCCATTTGCGAGTGACCTATACCCTTTGGGATTTAAATTTGAAAAGCATCTGGTACACTGACTTGCTCAGAATGCTTTGCACATTTTAGCTTTGATTTCTCCAGACCAAAGACACTGTTGCTAAATACATGATTCGGGGCAAGCTCTTGCATAGTCACGTAAGAGACGCTCAGCACCAATACATTGTTCACAATGGGTGAGAATGGCACAAAGACACCAGACCATGCCGGAGCTGGGGGTTGCCAGTGTAAGGCTTGCCCCGAATCACGTGATATAGTAACAGTCTCTTTGGTCTGGAGAATGCAAAGTTAAAACGTGCAAGGCATTGGATTAAGTCAGCGGTCCAGATTTTATTCAGATTTAACTCGCAAATGGCTTATTCCCCTCCAAGTTATTTTGTTTACTTTTAATTAAACTTTTATTTAACTTTAACACCAACAAGCACTTCCACAGTTTTCATTTGACAAACATTCCTTGACAATTATCGCTGCATCCAACACCATATCAAAAATTCACACAATCTATGTAGCACCAGCACTTCACCTATTGAGTTTAAAACTTTTTAAGTGGGAAAAATAAGGCATTTCCTTGAATTGATCCATTATGATACATAAATAGTCATCCTTGAGAGTCTCAAAGTGAACCAAAAGTAATATTTTTTCATATTTTTAGCACATGTTCCTGTACTCAGCTGAACACGCTGGAAACTCATTCCACTTGATCGATGTCCATGTAATCCACAGGGAGATCATATTTTTCCACTGACGGTCAGACTTCGTAATCTCGTTCGTCAACACCGGATTGACGGCGGGAAAACCCACCAATGTATCTTTGAACAACTGGCCAACATTCGTCAATCCAAAACACAGGTGAGTGAAAGGGCTAATAAGACTGTTTAAAGGGTCCACGATATGAATTTTTCATAGGAACGCACTTTCTGCAACTTTCTACTCCTGTTAAATGTATGAAAACTATTTGACATCCCTTTGTGGTTAATTTATTGAAAAGTGCACTTCTTATTAAATATTTAAAATATAGAGGGTATGCACAACCGCTTTCCCACGGTAAACTTATATGAAGATTTGACCTCAGTGAGGTCAATTTGTGCATCTCTCTATAGCCTCTAATGACGTCATATGCATGGACCTTATTCCATGCTTTCCCGAACAACTGCGGGCGCTGTTGCTGTGTTAAAATAGCTGTAACATTGAGGTTTCTACATGGAAAGAAATCACACTTTTGCTCATGAATATGGAAATTCACATTAGCATAAAAACCACAAGGCACCAAAATGTCCTATAAAATGCCTACACAAAAATTGAAAATAACATTAATTTGGACACAAAGGTGCATTTTCAATGACTGCATTAAAACAAAATACATTGCATAACCCTTTAAACGCAAAGTATCCATTTTTCTAAGCAGAATATAAAAATGAGGACACACTTTTTTTTTCGTTTTCAAGGCCTTTACTGTGACGTCACAACAATCACTCCCAGGATTATTTGTTTGAAATCAGGATGCAAACTGCTGCTCCTTTCAGCAGTTTATGAAATTTGTTCAACAACAAATTGTAAAAGTTTTAAATATTAAAAGTATAAAAGTGCTGCCGTCAACACAAACTGTGAAAAACAAATGAATCTGTAAAAGGCCAGATAAGCTGTTTCCTGTGACGGCTGCGATACAGTTCCAGTAACTCTCCGATTTATTGGTCTCACTAAGACAAAACAAATTGAATTTAAGCTAGGAAAAGAAACAACACCAAGCGCAATAAGTCCTAACGAAACACACGCTCATTCGCTTAGTCTTCACTGCCACGCGGCATGCCACTGGCTTTCTCAAAATAGCTCGGCCAAATTACAAGAGGAAAGGTTTCAATTCGGCTGTGGAGATTTGGCCAAGAAATTGGTGCTTTTAACCGGGGAGCGCCGGGCGAATCGTGTTTACTGGGAATAAATTTCGCCACTTCAAGCGTCCGGCGTGATAATTGAAGCTGCGGTGTTTTTTGTCTTTGGTTCCGTAACGCCAGGGGCGGTGCATTCCTCGCTGCACACTGAGAGAAGAAAGACATGAGCCGCTCGACTCAGCTACTGAACCTGTTCCACGCGGTAATTTGCAGCAGCGAGGCAAGCCTTGGCCCGACGTGGGAAGATTTGCCCGTCCTGACGGGCCGATGACAGGCCGATTGCCGCTCTCCACTCTCCCATCTGTCCTGACTCCCTCGGAGTCCGGAGAGTTCAACCAGGTCCCTAGATTTCTCGCAGGCTTTTTAATTTTTTATCACTGATGCGATCTTGCCGCATGCTCGCCCTCCAGCGCCTTACCACTTAGCCCGTGATGAGCAGGGAAGAAATGAGATCGTCTCAGTCAGTCATGATGGGTAATACATGGTACTGCTAAAGTTTAGTGTGACTTGTTTCTTAATTCAGTAACTCGGATACGCTTGGTTTAATCCGCCGCACGTCCTTCAACGCCCGCAGTATCTGTCTTGTCAACACGAAATTCTTTAGCGGACACTTAAGGCAACGTTAACCTATATCGTTCTTCTTCCCCTGAAATTGGAAGCAAAAATGCGTCTCTTCTCTAAATGTTGTTAATTTAGTTGGAGATCGTTAAAACGTGGTCTGTCGGTCAGCGGCTGTTTTGCCCAAATTTGATGATTCATATTTCTACTTTGAACGTAAACGGTAACCAAGTCAGGCGTTTTTTTCCAGTGAATTACTGAATCAGAATCAACGAAGCATTCAGCATTCAGCCGCTAAGACGCTACAACACAATCAGGGTTTACGGGATCGAATGCTCTGCGGAGATATTTTCCGCAATATCAGGACCCGTGCAATTATGAACGCTCTAGCAAGTCCTGTTTTATGGTCTAGCTCGTAAAATAGGTGATGTTATTCCAGGTGAAGTTATTTTGGGTGCTGTTATTATGTTTGGCTTGACCAGTATATCAGTATTGTCACTTTGCGACACTCCGCAAGTCGACAATACAGCATAACATGATGAAGAGCGACATTACAAGTCTAAAGCAATAGTTTTGCAGCTGGCTATACGGTATATTTTCCTGAAAGCAAGGCCTCCAAGAAGAGTACACACTCGGGTTGAATTGTCCCGTATTTCGATGAAATTAACGAAGACAAATTGGGGTATGGAGAGGAATGAATGATAAACTTAACTTGCACTTTTTGAGCATTGTCTTGTATAGAAGGAAATAATATAACTTGATATACCCACATCATCGCTGAACATTCAAATTGCTTAAAAGAAAACTTGATAAGTCAATCTTTATCTATGCTTAATAAATATTATTTTATAGAATTAATTAAAATTTGAGAATGTAACATCAGTGTTATATTCGTTCCGATTACTTTCGCAACAAAGAAGCGACTATTTTGAAGGACGACAGTCATACGCAACTCTATAATGTCAATACCCTAGAGCGCCCTCGCTCGAGCGTGCATAACACCATTATCCTTGCCGCGTCTACTGCTCGGGTAATCTGATCGGTTTAGAGGCAAGGTCGCTCGTCATCGTCTCCAGCCGCAGATTGGGCCCGATCTGCCGGCTTCCCGTCGCTCGGGTTGTCAGTTCAAGACCTGACTGCATGGACGCAAGACATATGAACAGATTAGTAGAAGTGACAGACCAACAAGATTTTTTGTGCAGTCAACAGCAGCAATTCGACCGCAGTAGGAGTAGATAGAGCTGGCAATCTTAGCTGTAGTTTATGCATTTTGGTACGCGCTGTTAAACTCGCACCCTTTACGAAAGTATCGCAGACAAGCCATCTTTCTGTTTTAAGTGTTAGATGCAAACAACATTCAGTAGTGAAATCAAGTGAAAGACTGCAAGCCAATCTCAGAACATTCGATACCTGTTCATGGACAGAGCGGGTAAATGGCTTTTTTACCTTGGTCGCTAGCAAACACATCCGAGAACAGACGGGTGATTGGTAACGAGTTTGGTGCCCATGTCATCGATTTCATACAATTCACCTGCCACTCTGCAGATAATAGCCGGCTACAGCGAAGAATATTACTGTAGTTGAAACATGATTGGTAGACGCCTCGCACTTGTAAGAAGTTTTTAAAACGGATCATACTTTGAACCATCAACAAGTTTCAACACACAATGAAAAGGCCGTGTTGAACATTTTCATATTTCCTTGACCTAAGTGAAAACCTTGGAGAGCAGTCGCTAACCTTATAAAGCAACCGACCGCTAAATTTTAGGACCAATTTGGGCACTGGACGTCGTCGGCTGAATCAATTTGACGGCATAAGTGATTCGGTTGTCTGACAACTCAAGCATGCCTACGCTGACGTTCAACAAGGTCGCTGGAAACGTCAAATGGCACCGCAAGAAAAGTGATCAATTTTGTTCAGACAAAAGTGTTTTTTTTTTCTCCTTCAGAGCAACATTAGATTCTATCCTAATAGATTTAACAGGCGACTGGCTCACTGTGTAGAAGCCTGCTGTTATACCTTTGCTCTGTGGTGTGCGACAGTACTGACATTGTCAGTACAGTTTTAAATAATGTTTAATTACTCCGTCTCTTTTTCGTCAAAAAAATTGCGTACTCCACAAGTTCCCTATCCCGACATAGCTAAAAAGCATCGTGAGTGCCTATTTAATCTTGGTTGAATCGACAACGAATTTCTGAGGCAAAGATCAGACCCAGGCCAACTCCCATTTGTATTGTAATTTTAATGGTTTGTAAGTATACATAGCTGTTCTTATCACAAAGCAATCATTGTCACTAGGTCAAGTCTTGAAGCCGGGAAACAGGTAGTCTTCATCCTTTTTAGATATATACATGTAGCCGAATGCTTTAGTGTTGGGGGTGTGGCCAGGCAAAAACCAGGGAAATAAAACTCGAACTTTTTCGCACGGATACTGACGATATACAGAGTAATCTGGGCATGTATACACTTTTTGGCTTGAAATTGTTTTCTTGAGCAAAGAGGGCCTCTATCCATCTATTCAGACACTATCAGAAGTGATTGTGTTCACCAAAACGCCCAGTGAAG